AGAGAGAGAGAGAAGAGAGAAAGTTAATGGAACTCCTTGTGTCTGTTGATATCACATTCCACAATTCATTTCATCCATCACGCATTACAGAACAATACTAGAGTCTCTTTCCAATTTCCTGTTTCCACCCAACCTGCATCAGTTTCTTTTTGGGTTGCTAGTAAAAGAGGCTAAACCTCATGCAGGTTTAAGTCTTGCCCCATCTATTGGAATTCTACTGGCTGAATGAGGCTTCTCTATGCCATTACACCAGCTGCTCAGCTAAAGGGGAACTAGGAGATGCCCCAATAATAGATGCAATTTCCAGGTCAGCAGAGCATTATATGCAGCCATTTGTGCACGTATTCGTGGCAATGAAGCAGTTTTCTAAATGGGGATTAGTGCTTATAGTTGCTAACTGATCCAATTTCCATTTCAACTACCTGCTCAAAACTTCGGCAAAGAAAGGTTGGTACAGGATTGTGGTCCAGTCCCAAATTCTTCCTGCTCATTCAGTTGTTTAAAAAATATCCTGGTTATTCTCATTTCTAATACTCTGAGTGTATATGTTTTTTTTTTCTCCTTAATCCTATAAATTGAGTGCATATGTTTTGTTTCTCTACCTCATTAATGACAAGTGCACGTACTGTGGAATGTGTTTTCTTGAATTTTGGGAAAATTCAAAGGATTGTTTTCACTACAAGCATGCAGTCAGATACCACTGAAATTCGCAATGAATTCTTCCTTTAACATGAATATTTTTACACATATTCAACCGCTCCAAGATTAATCTACTTCCACCTACACAACATACCTCTGTCTTGCTTCCAAGTGTCTCACCAGGTGCATCAAAAAATAAGAGGTAGCTCTGCTTGAGGACTCTCCAATAATTGAATCACTTTTACGGGATACTCTTACTTTTGGAAGGTAGGTTAGCTGGCATCCAACCAAGCTCCTTCTTGGTTATGGGGTTGAACCCAGGCTTTGATGGTACATGATCAATGTAAGGTACAGCTTGTTGCTCAAGGGCATAGACATGAATATGACTTGGATTATGTGGAGATAGTTTATATCATGATCAGGGTAGATTACATTCATACACTGATTTCACTAGCTTCCACTCAATAGTGGGATATCTTCTTCCATGGTCCTACATGATTCAAGACCCAACTAGTCAGTCTCATGAACGGTCTCATAGATAAGCAACTAAAAGCATTCTATAGAATTAAAAGGTATTGCGTGTGTGGTTTGATAAGTTATGCTACTTTTTCTTCTACGTTTTTTTCTTTGGATTTACGTTGGGTATAGACAAAGTGGATCAGATGATTCTTTCTAAAGACACAGAAACAAAACCTAATCAATGCATGCCCCGTTCCATCTTTCCTTCATATGAAGAGAACATCCTGGTCAAGCTCAGCAATACAGCTTTTCTAGATCCACCTCACAAATGATGCCTGGATTATAGTTGCTGGAAACGTCTGTGATTCCGAATCGTTTTGGGAATTGGAATCGCGTGTATCAGAAGTTTCGGAATCAAGGAATCGTTGTCCATACGATTCAGATTTGAGTAAAATGATATCACTATTTCGGAATCATGATTTAAAAAATTAGGAATCGTGTTTCCTATTTGTAAGAATCAATGTCCCTTCATGTTAGAATCGCGTTTCATACCTATATGGAATCACACATGACCCCACTTGTTTCCGTGGTTGCTGGAATCGTGATTCCTAAAAATATGAAATTGTGATTCCTAAAATTCTAAAATCGTCGTCCCCAAAAACTTGGAATCAACATTCTCACGATTACGGAATTGTGATTCTCCCTATATTGGAATCGAGATTCTCGCCTTACTAGAATTGCGAACCAATTCCCTCCGGTATATGAGAGAAGTATTCAAAAAATATATAAATTTACCCATTACTACAAGATCGAATTTTGGTATGTAAATACTCAGTCCAGGACTCCAAGTACTAATGTCACCCTTCATCATATCTTTGTGGACAATCCCATACAATGGACTCGGTCTACTGACAACCCTATTATGCCTACAAGGTCTAGAACTTGTCTACAGCATACAAGGAGTGAGAACAAGGGCAAGCTCCCTTTATCTCCTTTCATTGAATTATAAAATAAGTACATAACATAGTAATTCTTCTTTGTTAAATGCAGTTTTGAGTCTTTTGACTTTTGAAAATTGAGTTATTCAATTTTTAGTCAATTTTTCTGATATTTAATGATTAATTTAACCTAAAACACCACCCAAGGCACTTCGCGCATATCTTTATTATCTTCTTATTTTACTTAAAGAAAAGCATTTTTATCCTCTTATTCAACTTGACGAAATGACGGTGTCGATCATATATTAAACATTATTACATTAGTAGTTTAGTACCCACACCATTTACCAAACATTATTAAATTTAAAGTAACATATTTTTTTAGTATTATTATTCTTGGTAAGAGTTATTAAAAAGTAACATGGAATGAAGGATGAAAATTAGTAATAAGAAAATAAAAAATTGAACATATTACTTATATTTTAAAATTTGATTTTATTGCCGTATGCAACAACTTCAAATTCTCTCACGCTCTCATACATGTTGCTCTCACTCATGATTGAGCATACATCGAAGGG